TGGAAAGTATGAGTTTTGACTCACAGATGAAGCATTTTTAGGACATGTTGTGTCATTGGATGGTATCAGAGTGAACCCTCAGAAGATTCAGGCCACAGTCGAGTGAGAACTTCTTAAAAATGTATCAGAAGTGTGTAGCTTTCTAGGTTTGGTCGAGTACAATCATTGTTTTGTTCAGGGCTTTTTTATGATAGCTGCCCCGTTAACCAAATTATTGCAAAGGGGAGTTCCCTTTGTATAGGATGAGAAACGGAAAAAAAGCTTCGAGCAGCTAAAGACTATTCTGACCAAAGAATCAGTTCTAACCCAACCATAGTCGGGTAAAGACTTCATAGTTTTCAATGACGCCTCGTTAAATGGTCTCGGGTGTGTATTGATGCAGGAATGCAAGGTTGTGGCCTACGTATCTCATCATCTTAAGCCCCATGAGTGTAATTATCCTACCTATAATCTTGAGCTAGTAGCAGTTATGTTTACCCTGAAGATTTGGTCACAATATTTGTTTGGAGGGAAATATCACATTTTCATAGACCATAAGAGTATTAAGTATCTACTCACCCAGAAGGAGTTGAACTTGAGGCATTATAGGTGGATTGAGTTTCTCAAGGACTACGATTGCGTGATAGATTACCATTTAGGAAAGGCAAACATTATGGCATACACCTTGAGCTAGAAATCAATGTCAGCTTTACGAGCCCCCTTGTGCAATTAAGCTTATCTAGTGATGGTGGGTTGTTAGCCGAGTTGTGAGTCGAGCCAAAACTAGTTGGTGAGACCAAGAGACTACATAGATCATATTAGCGGTTGAAGGCTCGAGTTGAGCAGGTTCACCAAGACGAGGCACCATATTTTGAGTTATGCGATAATGGTGCATTGTACTTCAGTGGTAGTTGTCTATGTTCGTAGAAACTCAGTTGCGTAGCAAGATACTTCATGAGGCGTATCACAGACCACTGTTAGTCCACCTATGTAGTAAAAAGATATATCAGGAGCTTCGACAATTGTTCTGGTGGCCAAGTATAAAAAAGAAAGTTTCAAAGTTCGTCTCTTGGTGTCTAGTGTGTCAGCAGGTTAAGGTGGAACACCAGGTTCCCTCAGGATTACTCCAGTCCATTTAGATTTCTTAGTGGAAATGGGACAGGGTAACATGAACTTTGTGACGGGTTTATCGATGACCAGACAAAGACATAACCCAGTTGGGTCATAATCAACCGTTTAACTAAATCAACCCATTTTCTCTCAGTTGTGATGGATTATACCTTAGAGAGATTAGCTCAGTTGCACATCTGAGAGATAGTGAGACTACACAGTGTACCAATTTCCATCATATCAAACAGAGATCTTCGATTCACTTCTAATTTTTGGAAAGCCCTTCATGAATCCCTAGGCATCAAACTAAATTTCAATGCAACTCTCCATCGTCAAACAGACGGCCAGTCAGAGCATGTCATCCAGATCTTGGAGGACATGCTTAGGTGCATTATTATAGACTTCGAGGGTAGTTGGGAGGACCATTTTTCATTGGTGGATTTTTCCTACAACAACAGCTTTCAGTCGAGCATTTAGATGGCTCCTTATGAGACCTTGTATGGGCGCAAATGTAGGACTCCACTTTGCTGGAAAGAACTCAGTGAGGGTAAAATAGTGGGTCCATAATTGATTAGGGAAACTGAAGAGAATGTTTGGTTGATTCAGAATCAGCTAAGGGAAGCCTCAGATAGGCAGAGATTCTACACAAACTTAAGGCGCAAAGATATAAAATTCTTAATTGGGGATAATGTGTTCCCGTGTAAGAAAGTTATTTTTTTATCGTAAGGGAAAGTTGATCCCGTTCTTCATAGGACCCTACGAAGTGTTAGAGAAGGTTGGTCGAATAGCTTACAGGTTGGCCTTACCCCCGGAGTTGGAACACATCCACAATGTGTTCCATGTGTCCATGCTCAGGAGATATCAGTCTGATTCATCTCATGTCATCCCTCTAAAGTAAGTCGAGTTTAGTCAGGACATGACCTATGAGGAAGATTCGATCCAAATCTTAGCCAGATAAGTTAGCAATTAAGGAGCAAGAGGATTTCTTTGGTGAAAGTGTTGTGGATGACCCATGGCATTGATGAAGCAACTTGGGAAATCGAGGAGGACATGTAGCTTCAGTATCCTCACCTCTTCTATTTAGGTAAATTTCGAGGACAAAATTTCTTTCTAGGATTGGAGATTTATAACGCCTTGAAACCCAGGTTAGTAGTTTCGGGCTAACCCGAGTTGGGCCTAGAATAAATTTCTTAGCCTATGGAAAGCCTTAACCCAAATTAAGTGTAGTTAGGCTTGGGATTGATCCCAATAGTTGGTAAAAATGATGATTATGAGAGTTAAACAAAATTAGAGTGACCAAAATAGTAAATAAACCATTTTTTAAAATAAAAGTAGAAAACCCTTAATTGTATGGAGCTACCACGTTATCCCCTTCCCCTTTTCTCTATCACTCTCCTTGTCTTCTTCTCCCAAAGTTCTCATCTTCTTCTCTATAAAACTAAACAAAGGTGTTAGTTTGGTGACCTTGCAACCCTGGTTGAGATTTTTAAAGGTAAGTTTCAGAATCACTACCAACATAGCTTCAATTTAAGCCTACAATCTTTTTATTCCACCTTGGCTCCCAAAACGTGGGTTTAGTAAGAGGTTTAGTAACCTTGTGAAATCAATCTGTTTTGGAGGATTTCAAGTCTTAGAAATTGTAGTCTCTTCTAAACTTCTAGAACAAGTCAGTAACACAAGTGTTTGATTCTTGTCTAGCGAGAGAAGTGGGAGAAACCTCTCAAGCTAAGGGAAATGAGAAGCCTACCTTGGGTTGAGTCTTGAACACTTTCAGCAGCTTAGGAATCAAAGGTAACTCACTTCAGGCTCAACTAGACCATATGTAGTTAATTAAATGTGTTTTGTATGTTGCATGAGTTAAGTAGCATTTTCATGGTAGAAATCAGAAATCAGTGTTTCCAACATGTTATAGCCCCTTTATGGCCCCTTTAATCATACATAAAACTTTAAAAACAATTGAGACCTTAAGTGTGTCTTTTTAGAATGAAAATGTTGCATTTTTTGTGCCCAAATAGGGCATTTTCGAACGAGGGTAACGACACTAGAAGAGCAATACCGATATTGTTCTTAAAACCAATAGTAAATTTAACATGGAGTATCAATACTACATGGTTGGTCTTGATACCCATGGGGTGGCATCGATACCAAAATCACTTAGCAAATTCCATTAGGCAATTTTGGTACCGATACCTAAGGGAGTATCGATATTAGTATCGATACTCTCTATAGGGGTATCGATACTCAATCAATTATCAAAACATCGAAGCTAAATATGGTATCAATATCCAGGGGTCAGTATCGATACTCAGGGGTCAATACTGATATTGAAAGTTTAGTATTGGTACTCACAGACAGTTTTGGGTAAAGAACCCAAGAATTTAAGGAGTATGTTCTAGAGATCTTATTTATACCAGAATGTCTCAAAATAAAACTACAAGTGAGAACATTAAATTAACTCATAACAGTTAAAAACAACTAGGATGAAATAAAACTAGTCTTGTTTGACGCTAAGGATATAGTCAAGACACTCGAGTCACTTTAGCAAATACAATTGTACAATCGGATATCCCAGTCAGTGCCAAGGCACTTAACACCAGTTGGGGGAATATTCCCCAACACTCGACGGAGTTAGTTGGTCAGGTGTACGTTTCTGATACAGATTCCAGATATCACCTAGAGTACCTTAAGATATTTTGGCATACTAGAGGGGTGCGCGAGGTTCGAGATGCATAATCCCTCCATCGCACTATGATGTCTGCTACAGTATAGTAGACCATTATCTTTTATATCCTTATACTTGTGCCACCAGGTAGCGTATTTAATGAATGCATATAGTATAGTGCAGTTTTTAATGAGACATTGTGCTCGTAAAACAAGACTAACTCAAAGATTAGGGTGTTACAAGCATAATATTATAAAAATATATATATATATATAACTAAATTTAAAGAGAAACTCAAATATTTCGACTCGATTTGACTCAAGTCGATTTTTATAAATTCGATTCAAATAAAAAATTAAAATAAAATTTGAAACATAAAACAAGACTAACTCGATATTGCAGATGATAGGTGATGTTGCTTTGTTGCTTGTATATGCTCTTCTAATTCCTATACGAGTGACACTTTCTTGTTAAAGCCTGAGTTTTGTTGTGATATCTGTTAATAAACGTTGTTATAGAACTCATTAAGTGGTTCTAGTAGTAAAAGATAATATTATTCTTTTTAAGGTATTAGGTTCGAAAATTATATTTATAGGCCCTGAATTTGAGCAATTGCGTCTGCAAGATATATATAAGTTGCCAATTTTTTTAATAAATATAATATTAAAATATCTCAAATTATTAATAACCAGAATGAGTTCACTTAAAAATTATTATCTAAAATTATGTTTTAATCAAGATGAAATTTGACTATTATAATAGTTTAAATCTTTATTGATTATATTAATCTAGATTTATTGATAAGAATACTTTTTAAAATTCATGATTATGTAATGATTATTTAAAGTCTATTTTTATCATACATGATATCACTCTAATTGTACTCAATTTTCATGATAATTACATTCAAATAATTTAAGGATATTAGAGTAAATATATTTCATCCGTTGATCGCAGTTCATTTTTTTTTCTTTTGGATCATATATTGTAGATCCATAGGAGCTTTCTTTATTCTTCTTTTAGAATATCTTTTGTAGAATTAAATTAGATTTAAAATTTGTGAAAAAATAATTTAAGCATATTAAATATAATTGATAAGGATTGTGAACATTGAGTTTCATTGTGATGTATCATAAAATTTAACGTATGTCTTAAGAAATACTTAAAAAAACCCTTTTAATAATAAGAAAAAGAAATTAAAAAAATAAAACAAACCTCTTGTATTCACATACAAAACGAAACCTATTATAAATCCAGGAATGTACTTCACGTGAATTAGCTCACTGCTGACGTTAATCCACGGCCACATCAGCATCAGCTAACCAATAGCTGTTCGCCATGTGTACACAAGCTAACTTGATACTTGACTTCCGCTCCAGACCCCACGTCGAACCCGGCTTGAACCACAGCCTGAGCTGCTGCAGCCGCCTTTCTCCTCCTTTTCGGCCAGGCGGAAGACGAAGACGGCTCAGGCGACGCTCTCTTTGACGTTATTCGGATCGGATCAGGCTCACCCGAGTTCACCCTCAATGGAAAATTCAACAAAGCTCTGGATCCACGCATCCTATAAGCCGCTTTGTCATAAGCCAAAGCCGCATCCTCAGCCGTCTCGAAAGTACCTAACCAAACCCGAGCCCCATTTTTAGCCGGATCCCTAATCTCAGCCGCGAACTTCCCCCACGGCCTTTGCCTGACGCCTCTGTAATGCTTCCCTTTCGACGGAACCACCGTGGGACCCGTCGTCTCCGCCGTCGTTTCCATTTTCTCCGCCGATCTGATATCCGTTGAAAACTCTTGAGTTTCTGGTTTAATCGGCGTGAAATTCGTTGATAACTTATCGGACGGAGCCCAGCCGACGATCAGAGCATCTCGTAAAAGTCCAAAAACGAGCATATCTTCGGAATCGTCTTCTCTGAGAGGAAGATCTCCCCAGGTTTCGGTGAAACAAGGGTACAGACGGCTAAAGCTTGAGCTCCGGCAAAACATGGGAGGAACGGCGGGAAACTCGGTGGAAGCAGTGAGTCGAAGGTCGGATGACTCGCTAAGTAAGTAGTCCCGAACTGAGTCTAGCACAGCAAAATCGGAATTATTTGAACTTGAATACATCTCCATAGCCAAACAAAACAGTTTACTTATTTTCTTTTCAGAATTTTCAATTTTTCGGAAGGAAAGTGGGTTTATATAGGGAAGTTAGGTGCATGAACTAAAATAAAAGGGCAAAGTACATCAGAGATCACTTAACTATATTCAAATTATTATTTAGGCGACTAAAAGTTACAAAGTCATAAAATAATCATTAAATTGCCAATAGGGGCTGATTCAAGTGTTAAGTAGCTTAATATCGCTTAAACAATGTCTAAAGTTTGAGTCATTGTGTATGTAGAAAACCCTCGTAGAAAGACTCATCCACCAAAGTCAGGTGTGTGACGCGAGTAATCCGAATTAGTCAGGGCGAAGCCTTAGAACCGAGATGGCAACTAAAAATTAATAATCATTAAAGTTATCGAATCATGATAAAATTGGCATTAAATTTATCATACTATTAGAAAATAATCATTAAATTTATTAAAATGTTGCAAAGTTGTCCTTAAATTTTATCAAAATATTATAAAATAATCATTAAATTTTCAAAACTTACAACTATTATAACATTATAACTAGGATGATCATGAGTTGGGTTGAATTTTTTGACAACCCAAAACCGATCTAAATATTACACCCTTCTACCACACCCAATTTTTAGTGTAAGAACTCACACCCACATTTGATTCAACTCAAGACAAATATGTGCGTGTGTATATATATATATATGTATGTATATTTTCCATTTTTATTAGGTAAAATAATGATTTAATTGAAATAAATATAAACAAATATCTATTATTATAAAATTAAATATAAACAAATATCTATTATTATAAAATGGTTGTCCCTTGTTCTCATATGTAATGGGGTAAGGGAGAGGTAAGATAGTAGGCTGCCCCCAACACTAGATTGAGAGTAGCTTCCGTGGGAGACCTCCAAATTATGAAATGCCCTCCATAGGACTCGATCCTAGATCATTATAATACGATCTTAGATCGGGTCAGATTGAATCAGATTAAAACCCATTAATTTCGATTTAAATTTTCATCCCTGAATTATTTTCTAATAATTTAATAAATTTAACGATTGTTTTATAATTTTTATATAATCATTGACCAGATTAATTATTTGAAATAATTTAATGACCATTTGGTGTGCTTTACCCAAAAAGCTCCAGTGCATGAATTTCATTGAAGGTTCATTTAAGACACGTGAAGAATGTTTTCGCATGTGTCGGATACCGCTAATTTCAGACAGAGTGACGTCATCGGATTGACAGCAGCAAGTTGTTGCTTTGTCTAATAGCATGCCTTGTTGCCAACTTGTTCTAATTTTTATTCCTTTTTTGGCAAGTCGTTTTCTTTGCTTTTTTTTTTATTATTTAAATTTCTTTTAATATTTCACTCATTTTTCATTAGATATTAAAGAAATTAATATTAACAACAAACTTTTGGATAAGTTTGGCATAAAGTCAACAATCCATTAAATAGAATGGCAATAATATATCTTAACTCGAATCAATATTAAGGTTTTGTACGGTGGCAGATTCAAAAAAATATTATTTAGGATGTGTATATATATATATATATATATTAATAATAAAAAAGATTATATTAAAGTAAAAATAAATAAAATTTTAGGTAAATACGTTCAATAAAATAAACAATTAACATAAAAAAATTCAGATTCTAATGTAAGCATATGCCCACTCTAGATTGTTCTTACATTTGTCATTAACTTGTCCTATTTTTCTCTTTTTTTATAGTCGTCGTTAGTCTCTTTTCTTCTTTATCTTTATGATCGACGACGACATCAACCTTGGTGTTGATCACCCCTATTCGTAGCTGCCGCTAATTTATCATATTTTCTCTATTTTTTCATAACTTTGATATTCATTGTTTTCCTTTGCTTTATTATAGTGTATCTTTATTTTTTTATCTTGCTTATTATTTTTAATAATTTTATTTTTATGACATATTTTCGGTCGTTTGGTCATTATTTTTGTTTATTTTTTTAAGGTTGGATTTGATATTATCATGACTGATCAAGATGATAATTTATTTTTGTTATCATGCTAATCTTTCCTGCTTTGGACCCCTCAGATTGGATTTGGATAAATGATTTTGCGTTCGTAGTAGTATTTTCATGTCTCTCAATTATGATTTGTGATTTGTCGTTGGCTTTTCGATAACTTCATCCTATTTTGCAGTTCGTTTGTCGGTGCGGTTAGATTCGTTCGTTATACCTTTTATCTGAGTTTATTTGGCTAGATTTTTTTAACTTTTTCCTTGTATGGTCCTTGTGATCTTAAGTGATTAGTTTTCTTTTGTTTAGAAAAATATTTTTGTATTTAATTTATTATTATAGTTGTAAACCTTTATTGTAATTTGAATATTTTATATTTTTAATAAAATTAGTGACTTCTATAATAAAAAGTCGATGTCATTATTATGATAAAAAAATTATTTTGAATCAATTTGACTAAAACTATTTTGTTCCTTTTAATTTAATCTAACATCTTAATTGAAAATTCATTTTGGTTTGATCTAATTTATCTTTAAATTTTTACATATTTTTTCTTCAAATAGAAACATAATTAAATAAAATATTAATTTATTCAGTTTAATAATATATGGTGTAATACAATATTTCTTTTACTAAATCAAATTGATACCCAATTTATTAATTGTATCTTATACCCTAATTTTTATATATATTTATCAAAATTAACTAAGAATACATAAAAATAGTTTTCATAATTATCATGTAACAGAGAGTTTTTTCTTAAAATCAACCTGACACAAACAAGCTAAAGAACAGAATTTTGATCCAAAACTTAAATTTTATATTAAAAAAATAATTATATAATTAAATCAAGTCAAAATTTACTGAGTAAGGGCTTTTATTCTATCCCTACCATTAAAGAAGATATATTATGACATGTAATGGACCATCTTCTTAGTCCAATAATTTAAGTCACATTTTCACATCGGTCCTTAAAATTTTCAAGTCAATTTATATTTTAAAAATTTTAGGACGTTACATATAAATTTAACACTTATTTGTTATAAAACTATGCATAATTTACTATCCCATGGACATGGATATGGATATGGATATGGACATGGATATGGATAAGGATAAGGATAAGGACAATGTTATACATAAAATATTAATCCATAATACTACGCGTTTTTCTTGTTTACGTTGGATTTATATTATTATTATTATATTTTTTATTAGGCTATGATCATTACAAAATAGTATATTTAGGGATGAGCATGAGACTCGAACATGACGGGTTCCGACCCTATCAGGCCAGGTTTTTTTAAAAAAAGTTAGGTTCGGGTCGGGTTAGGTTAGGTTTTTAAAATATGATGTTCGGGTCGGGATCGGGTTTAGGGTGAAAAATACCCGACCCAAAAAAAACTATATAATTTACCTTATATATTTAGGAATAATTACAATAATACCCCTCTATAGATTCTTTTTATCAATTAAGTCACTATTTTTGTTGAATAAAAATAATATTTTATTATTATTTCAGGTCGGGTTTTTAAGTTATATATCGAGTTGGGTTCAGGTCGGGTAAAATCTTATTTTTGTCGGGTCAGATCGGATCTCGGGTGGAGGATTCATTGTTCTCGAGTCGGGTTGGGTGGACCAAAAACCTGACCCAACCCGACCCATGCCCATCCCTAAGTACACATTTTAAATATTCTAAATCATTTCACAATAAATGTTTAATCACCTTTGCAGTAGATGGTACTCGAACTCGTAACATCTAGGAACAACAACGATTCCTTTAATCAATAAGATAATTTGGTTCGTGCAAATATAATTTTTTTACATATGTAAGTTTATTTTAAATATTATTGAAAATATTAGTTGTATAATGTTGAAAATTGGTTTTTGGTGGCGCAAGTTGTTGCACCAAAAGCACCCAATTTTGGGCTACAAAATTCGGTGCATCAATTGTTGAAAAACATAAATGGTAAAATTGATTAGTCCCTATACTTTAGGGTATTTACAAGATTTGTCCTTAAGCTTCAACTATAAATACCCTAACCCATTTAGTTTCAATCCCATCCCAAATCATTATAGTTTTCTCCCAATACTAGAGAACTTAGAGAGTTTCTTGAGAGTTGTTTTCTCCTTTTTATCAAGAGAAAATTGTCATTGTTTTCTCCTTGTTAAATCGAGAGAAATTGTAATTCCTATTTTCTCATAGTGAAATTCTTCTATATTTACCCATGGTTTTTACCCTATATTATTTAGGGGTTTTCCACGTAAAATTTATCTCTTCTTTATCTTCATTTTTTATTTTATCAAATTATCAGTTGCTATTTTACTTTATCTGATAGCCGTGATTCACAACAATTGGTATCAAGAGCCAGATTAGAGTGTGTCATATCAACTTATTGTCTTTGTGGTTGCCACCAAAAGGTAGATCCTCCAATATAAGAAAGTAAGAAGGTATTACCCATTCTTTGAAGGTTCCAGAGAACTATTCACGATAGTGAAATAGTAGAGCTATCCGTAATAGAAGCTATGGCAACGAAATTTGATATTGAAATGTTCAATGGGAGAAATTTCTCATTGTGGAAATTGAAGATGAAGGCCATCTTGAGGAAAGACGGGGTGTCTAGCAGCTATCAATGAAAGGCCGATAGATTTCGCAGATGACAACTAGTGGATCGAAATGGACGGGAATGCTATGACAAACTTTCATCTAGCATTAGCAGATGAAGTATTGTCAAGCATCAAGGAGAATAAGATAGCTAATGAGATATGTGATCATCTCACCAAACTGTACGAGGCCACATCGCTGCACAATAAAATTTTCCTTAAGAGGAACTTGTACACTCTTCGTATGTCTACTTCAGTGACGGAGCACTTAAACACACTGAACATTTTATTTTCTCAGCTTACATTATTAAGATGTACAATAGGAGAACAAAAACGGGTTGAACTTCTACTTCAAAGTCTACCTGATCCGTATGATCAACTCACCATCAACTTGACAAACAGTAATGTCACCAGTCTAGTATTCGATGACGTTG